TTTGTTTTCAGGGTTGGAGCTGAACTCTGCAGGACTGCGGCTCTCTAGGACCGAACTTGCCTACTCCTGGGTTAGGTGTATCTGAGCAGCAGATGCTGATGCTTTGTTTACTTTGCTGTGTCGCGGGAGTGCAGCAGACGCGAGTAGTTAAAACACTGAATGGAGTTTAATTATAGCCGAGTGGAATGGATTTGAGGAAGCAGCAGCATGGAATTCAAGGCTGTAGCTAAATGGAGTTTAATTTATTAAGGCATTCGTCATGTGGAATGGATTTGACTGACGGCACTCTGAAAAGTACACATTCGCTGAATTAGAGACGGTAAAAGTGGGTGGGTCCAATATCATTGGTCTTCAAAAGTGGGTGGGTCCTGTCCCACCCTCATTCAATGGTTCCGATGCCCATGATCTTGTTTTATGTTGAGGAGATCAAATACATTCATACAGGTTCAGAACAACTTGATTTTGATTTTAATTTTTGGGTGAACTATATATCCCTTTAAAATTTCATAATAGCTAACTAGTGCACATGCTTTATCTTTAACTGTTAACGTTCATTACGTTTACGTTGAACGTTTAAACACAAGGCGCGAAAAATAACTCTAGTCAGGCGCTGTACGAGCAAGTGTGCGCCGCGCGTATCAGAAACCGTCTTAAGCGCGCATTTGCCAAAATGAATTCTGCCCCACTGCTTAATGTCCCTGAACAGTTAAATTCGTTTTTAAACCAAAATGCGTTTAAATGAAAAGCTTACATCATGACGCACAAAATGAATTTCTCAACCCATAAGCGAATAAACTAGGCCTATAGAGTTTGTTCAAACACAAAAGTTAATAATCAAACTAACCTAAAATCTGTGGGGATGATGACGCAGTGTTTTTATCGGCTCCATGTGTCCGGTCCATTTGCGGTTCCACAACTCCCACTCCATCATCAGCTTTAGTAAAATAAACTAGCTGTGGATTTTAGTGACTAACTCATGCTTCAGCCCCGCCTAGCCGAATGGTTAATGTGGCCCTGGTTATGCGATCACCTGATAGATAGGCTACGTGCACAGTTTGTTCGAAAGTAAAATATATAATAAATGCATTTGATCGATAAACCAAATTCAAATGTGACATTTTAATCTCTAATGGTAATGCATGGAATTTACGGAAAAACTCAACTAAATAATAGCGCTAAAAAGTGAGGGGCGTGGTGGGGCTTTGGCGATCGGCGCTACCGGTGTCCATCAAGCTACTCCACAGCCAATCACGAGCCCCCTCCTTGCCTAGCCCACTGGTTAATGCGGCCCTGTGTACAGCAGATGGGTGCTTAATACATGGCTGTGGCTGCCTCACTCTCCATATCTTCCTGTTCTGCCTCTGCCTCTTCCCTCTCTGTCTCATTGTATTGCCTTTCTTTCTCAATCTGAACATTTTCTGTCTCTGGCTCAGTTCCAAGACCTTCACTTTGTTGAGTTAACTCTGGGGCAGTTTCATCTTAATATAAGGAATGAATAATAAACCTTTTACAATATTTACATATTCCTTTGCTGTCAGCTAGTTTAACAGTTTTACCTGTACCTCCTGCTTCTGCTTCATCTTCAATGAAAGTATGAGTATTAGACATTTAAGTTAATATTATACAGCATAAATCTATATTATATAGCCTACTAATAAACAAGATTTAGAACATCTATATTCCTTTTTTTAAACTATTTATAGGCCTTCTATTATTATGGTTTTAATCAAACGTTATAAATATGATGTGTTATATAGATTACTAGTATCATCTAAGACAAGTGATTATAATGGGAAATATACTTAATTACAAGAATTAAAGTGTGACAAACTGCTAAATATTCTATATGATGATTTACCTGCTGGCTTGCTGAAGCTTTGAATCCATGTTTGCAATGTTGAACTGCCTTTAGCAGCCTCCCTTCGCTCTTTCTCTCTTGGTCTTCTTTTTTGTTGTTGTTTTTTTGTCTACAAAGTGTGCCAACAACAGCAAATTTGGTGTTATTTATATTCTGATTAAGTACAATAATTTGATTAGACATTCTAATTCTAAGAACGTGGATATTTTGTACAAGTTGTTAGCACTTTTAGAAGACCGAGAGCAAATCATTAGTGACAGAAATACAAAAACAAACTACCAAATGACTAATTCAGCAGATCAACCACTGACTGTAATGTCGATTGTAAGCCTAATGCATCTACTTGTTAATGCAACTACCTTCGGGAACTGTCGTCTCAACTCTCCAGAGAGCGGGCACACAGATAGGCCTATTTCACAACGTGACGTCAGCAAGCCGGAAGTAGGGAAAACTCTTTCCGGTAAAAGCGCTTCCAGAACAATGGCGGAGACTAAAAGTAGTCAATCTTGTAACGTACCTTTGTGTTTCAACTCTTGTAGCGTACCTTTGTGCTTCCCTCGACTCTAAGATTTTTCTGGTCGACTAGTAGTTGTTCATTTTAAGCATTAGTCGACTATTAGTCGCATGTTTATTAATAAACCATATAAATCATAATAATGAGCCTTTAATAGCATAAAGCGCTCAAGCGCACACACCAAAAACAAAAAAGGGTTGCCACAGCGTACTGGCAGAAATAATAATTATGAATGTGTCTGGGAAAAACAGCAAAAGAGACTACATTAACATTTTAATAATTAACATAAACTAACTCTTCTTAATGACCTGCAACAGCATCTTTCAGATTTTTAGCACATTGACTGTCATTGACTCATCTTTCCAGCTTGGGAAAAGTAAGTTTTAACAATATATTTTCAATGTTCGGCAATAAAGATTTGAAAAACATTTATCATAAATCTTAATCTAAATTAAATAACAAGCTATAAAGAAAATACTAAAGTGTACTGCAGTTAACGCTTAAATGAACTATGAATGACTAATCATCTGATCTATTTTTTTGCGAACTAAATTACTATTTAACAGTGAATGAAAGAAACATCATTGGTTAGGCAACACTTCTTGCCTATTTTCTCCCTAGCAAAACACGAATGTATGTGCCAAAGTAGAATTCATCAGCTTTAGCCTTGATTTCTTGGATCAGCTCATCATTTCTCCATACTCTCTCCACAGTGAAGTCACCCCTAGTATTTGTCACCAGATCACATCAAGATAAGCCAGTGACCATCAGCTGACCCTGGACTTGCCAGTGGTAGGTGTGTGATTTCCGTAGTTTTGCTTGGCCCCCAACAGACTCTGTGTGTGATGCCTCTCCTATGTATTTCACATCAGGGCACTTAACTTCTACCAGGCCATAGGGAGGGTCTTCATTTGGGTCTACCACCTTGCCATTTGGACTAGCACCAAGGTGTGGAGCTTCGGGGTGGATGATGAGACCGCATGGAAGTACATTGACATTGAAGGTCTCAGCATAGCGGCGAAGAACCTCTGGCTCAAGTTCCACTCCTCTACGCATTGCTTTGGTCTGGGGGGCACCTTTAATGATCCGGCCAGCAAGTGTTTTTGCAGTGGATTCTGACCTCACACGAGCTGCTTCATAGAACTTGCTTGCTGTAAGCCGGAGGCGACGCATGCTAAACCAGATTGGGCTTTTGGATTGATCCCGTGTTCCCTCCTCAATGATCCCTGACATTTCAGGTGTCACCTCCAGGCTCTGCATATGCATGAGTTCAGCCCAGCTGCCAGGGACAAAATGATATTGTGGAAGTGTGTATTGTGGGACAGGTAATGGGGGGAATTCTGGTGCATTTGGATGTGTAAGCACATCCGTTGGCAGCACAGCAGGACACTGGTAAGAAAGCAGTGAACCTTTTGGGACCTCTCCAAATTTTGATGAAACCATGGTTACAGCAGACATCCCATCAACAATCTTTGCGATTAGTGGTTGAGGTCGAAGGGAAATGAGGGATGCTGCTCCAGCAATCACATCATTATCAGGCAAAGGTCCTAAAACAAAATGTTTGTCTCACTGTGTTAATTGTTAACTATTTCGAAAATGTGTTTTAGTAGTATTTGGAGAGTACCTCCATATGCTTTGTACAGAGTTGACTGCACACTGCTCCTACCAGAGGCTTTTGGCTTGCAAGCTCATCCACTGGTTCTGGAGTTATGCCCTGACAAAACATTTATGTATATATATTGTATGGGATTGTAATCTGATTTGCACATTATGCACTTTAAATGTATATGTATGTATGTATATCTATACTGTATATACAGTGGGTATGGAAAGTATTCAGACCCCTTTAAATTTTTCACTCTTTGTTATATTGCAGCCATTTGCTAAAATCATTTAAGTTAATTTTTTTCCCTCATTAATGTACACACAGCACCCCATATTGACAGAAAAACACAGAATTGTTGACATTTTTGCAGATTTATTAAAAAAGAAAAACTGAAATATCACATGGTCCTAAGTATTCAGACCCTTTGCTCAGTATTTAGTAGAAGCACCCTTTTGATCGAATACAGCCATGAGTCTTTTTGGGAAAGACCCAACAAGTTTATTATTATTATTAATGCTGACTTATTTCGTACTGCTTTATTTATTGTTATCTGTTGTCAAATTAAAACTGTTTGAAGGATCAGTAGTTTTATTTTTAATTTTACCTGGGTGCGGGGTCTATGCTAGGCCTGCTGCTTGCTTGTGCATGCAAGGGCAGCTGGAACATTCTCGGTGCCTAGCGTACTAAAATGTGCTGTCTGGTAAAGTAATGCAACCAGATGGTTGCATAAACTTCTTTCAGCAGCACACGAACATATATATGCAGTCAGTTGAGGTGGGGTGCTGGTTTCAAATGTGATCTAAAGAAAGTGATACAAAGACTTTCATGTATTTCACATATTTAACACTTTTAGTGTTTACCGATGTTTGTTTATTGTATGTTTGGGACAGCTATTGTTTAAGTTATTGTTTATTACATGTATCATATATTATACTCTTATATGTATAATGTATGTGTGTGTGTGTGTGTATGTAAATATATATATATATATATATATATATATATATATATATATATATACATACATGCACACACACTTATGTATGCATTACTATGCAGTATCACATGCTATGTTAACTTAATCCTAACTGCAGATGGTGCTGTTACTGCTAGACTTTATCGCTATGTTTGATATTGATTTTGAGACGAGTAATGCATATTAAACAATCATTAGCTAAATCTTGAATGTATTTACCTCAAGCTGATGTGGTTCTTCATGCTTACTTAATGACCTATAGCACCTGGCCCTAATTACCACTTTCCCTGAAATAATGTTTGAGACTGAAGTGTCCAAACACACACACACACAGCTATTAATGGGACATTTTTATTATTATTATTATTAAACCACTTTTAAATGTATCCATAAAAACAACATTGATCATTCGGAAATTACCTATCATGGCAGCTGTCTAACATAATACATACCTTGATAATCAAAAATGAATTGCTCAAAAAAGAATTTATAACCCTTGTCCAATTTTGATCGCCTCACATCTCCCTGAAAACTATCAACAAAACGGACAACGTCTGCTATTCTTATTGTTGGCAAATTTATTAATGATTGGGAGAAAACGAGTTCGCACTCCATTATGACAATGACTGTATGAATGAATGAATGAATGACGATCGTAACAGGCGATCATATTGTGAAATAGGTCTATTGTGAGTGATGCTGCAGAGCGGGCGGGAAAACGCGGAATCAGTGAATCTTTAGCGGACCGGTAACAGAACGCTTGAGCTGGGGTGATGGGTTGGTGAGAGGGGCACCTCAGCCGATTAGGGCAGAGGGGCCAGTGTCTCTAGCCACCGGGCCACCCCCCCTGTGCACAGCCCTGGGACTGTAGCTATCGATTATTTCAGTAATCGAATATTCCATCGATTAATCGAGTAATCGGATAAGAAGTCATTTTTCTTTATTAAAGCGCAATACTAGATATACAAGATTTGTTTCCTTTTTAGAAACAAATATTTTTACTGTTGAAATTGCAAACATTAATTACCGTTAAAACTAAACCCATTTAATGCATTTAATTGCCAAATGACATTCAAAATGCAAATATAAATATATCAATAAAAAATTTATAAAATAAAATAAAAATACAAAAAAATCAATTCACATTACTTTAAAAAAGATAAACATAACAACCTAAAATGAAGGCATAAATCAAGAAATATAAAAATCAATTTCACATTACTTTAAAAAAGGTACAAACTAAAACTAAAAGCATAAATCAAAATAATAGTAATATAAATAATACCTAAACATTGCATTTATGTCGTGCAACTTAACTTTCAAGTTTCAGCCTAACTAAAGCTCAAGCATGACATAAGCCTTTACTGTCTTCTTGGAAGGCTTTGTGGCTTTTGTAAGAGGCAAAAATCAGTGGACAGGAACGTAACTTGGAACAAGAGTCCATATACAATTTCTAAACACATTTTTCTGCAACATGAAATATAATAAATAAACACTCATAAATGTATTTCTACGTACTGGTGTGTGTAAAGCTGGTTTTTGATATCCTTCATATTCTGTGTACTGGTCAGTTCACAGCAGTGATAGAAATTAATCTGTCCCAATAAGTTTAAATTGAGTTTTACATTTTGTTGGCATTTTAACCTTTATAAAGCCTCTTTTTTTTTAAAGTATGCATTATCTTTTGAATCACAATTCTTACATTTAATCAGTCAATTAGAATAATAAGACATTTGGGTAAAATATTGAAATTTGAAACTTCCACATCATTGCATTCTGTTTTTATTCACAATTTGTACAGTGTCCCAACGTTTTTTGGAATCGGGTTTGTAATACAACAGGTCAATAAACAAGAATGTAATATCCAGAAAAGCTAAAGAAATATACTATCAGTGAAGTATACCAGTACTGATGCTGCATCCTAATTCACATACTATCATACTTACTAATTCTAATTTTGAATACTAGTTTTCAGTGTGTCCCAAACCGTAGTATGTTGAAATAAGTATTCCAAAGATACTCGGATGGTCTACTGTTTCCAGTCAAAATTCGAAGTCCAGATCCACGCTAATATTGCCTACAACTAATTTTACGTGTTGGATGAGGGATCTATTAGAACCCATACATGAATAAAAAGTGTTAAACTAAAAACATGGCAGATGTGTGAGACCAACTGTTAAGTAGAGAAGGGGTTTGAATCAGTAATAAATCTTAATACAATAATAAATATTTTTATTCTGCAACATTGTAAACAATAAGATATGTGTAACGGAATGAACACAGGAAGCGTGCGGATCCATCTGCAAGGCTTTATTCACAAGAGACGTGGTCAAAATTTTGTCCAATTTTGGAATCGGGTTTGTATATAGCTAATTTTGCCCTTCATGACAACTGTGAGGGGGTGAATTTTTTTTATAACTCATTATAGACCCATTTCAAATGTATCTTTTCTTTCATAAGCCTTAGAAAATGCTGTTTTAGTACAACTACAGAGTTTTTAGAGGTTTAGGATACATCACAGCACTGAGACTGCACTTTTAAAAGTGTTGAATGATATTATTTTATTATCTGTAGATTCGGGGGACTCTGTGATACTTTTACTATTAGATTTAAGTGCTGCGTTTGATACTATCGATCATAGCATCCTTATATCACGCCTTGAACAAAGTGTGGGCATTACAGGTTGTGCTCTCGACTGGTTTAAATCCTAAGACAGAATGTTTTCTGTTTGTCTTAATGGTTTTTCTTCATCTAGCTCCATCTTGCATTTTGGAGTTCCTCAGGGCTCCATTTTGGCCCCTGTTCTGTTCTCATTATATATGCTTCGTCTGGGGTCCATCCTTACCAAGGAGTAATTTGTTCAAAATGCAGCTGGCAGACTTTTGCCTGGCACCCGCAAATTTGATCATATCTCCCCCGTATTATGCTCTTTGCACTGGTTGCCGGTCTGTTACAGAATCGAGTTTAAAATTTTACTGTTTGTTTTTAAAGCTCTGAGTGGAACGGCTCCTGAATATTTCTGATCTTTTAAACCCAAATATATCTGTTTGATGGCTGAGGTCTTCTGAGCAAAGAGTGTTGATGGTCCCGAGATCTAGATTGAAGTTGAGGGGTGACCGTGCCTTTTTAATTGCTGGGCCTAAACTATGGAATAGTCTTCCAGTCTCCCTCCGATTTGTCTCCTCAGAATCTGAATTTAAATCCAAGTTAAAGGTGCTGCATGTAGGATTGACAACTAGTGGTTGAACTAGGTATTGCAGTACAAAGTCAAAATATTGGTTTAAGGAGAATAACTGATTGTAGCATGTTAACTTAATATGTTTGCAGAAACATGCTATGATATTTTTATGCTTTAGTAGAGTCAAAAACTTGCATACAGCACCTTTAAAAACTTATCTTTTTTTCCAAGGCTTATAAGCTGTCCTTAAGAGTATAAGGATCTGTCACCTATCAGTGTTTGTTTTTGATTTTCTCCTCTTTAGTGCAATGCGATCAAAACTGGTTTATATTTGTCTTTTTAGCAAGGTTTGTACAGAACTGTGGTCAACTACTGTTGTTTTTATTGTGCTTCATAAATACATTTTGATTGATTGATTGTTTTTAGCACATCTCACAGGGTTTCTGCAGAGTTGAACAAGTTAAATTTAAGACTTTCTAAGACCTTTTTAATACCACCTTATATGAAATTTAAGACCTAAACCTGTAATGGAAATACACATTTTATTACATACGTATATGTATTATTTAATGTGTATGAATTAAAAAGAAAACAAAATATCAATGCTGTAATAAATGGTATTTATAACTATGATATACAGTGAACTTTTCATGTCAGCAGACAATATTCCATACAAAATATCCCCGCAAAATAACTGCATCACTGAGATTTTTGGTGGAATAAACAATTTATTCTGAAACAATATTTTCATCAGTGTTCTATCAGCTTTTACATACTTAAATCTGCATATTTACCTTTACAAAGGCCTGTTTTTAACCTTTTTAGATGTATGCATCCTCACTTGTCATGGTGTTATTTAACTATATCATGTTATGAATAAACTAAACATTGTGTTACCTCAGTGGGTTTCTTCTGAGTTAATGTGTGCTGTTACGCTCATTTGTTCTGGAGTCTCGAGACAAACAGAGTGAGAATATTCTGTATTCTGCTAACTTACTGCAATTCTCTCTGATGACGCAGTAACTTGCCGCGGGGAACAAAAATATCCTCCGTCTGTCCAATGATTGTAAAGTCATTAGGTCCGTCAGACTGAAGATATTTTAGCGGTAATGAGACCAAACATAATTAAGACCCATCGAATCCGAATTTAAGACTTTTTAAGGACCCGCGGACACCCTGATCTCAAGTGACACCGTTGATTCAGGCGACGTCTCGCCCCTTTTGAACTCTATCACTCTGCACTAAGATTCTCTAGTATTCCCCTACAACACTGGCTGCCTGTCGTCATCATCATATTCAGAGTAAGATACTGCTCGTCACATTCAAAGGGTGTTAGTCTTGCTCCTGTGTAAATCTTAGATCTCAGTCGTTCTCACGCATTCACAATGAGACACACATTTCAAGCAGTTCACACACACACCATAGCTTTTATTTCTCACACTGAAGTTAGGGATAACTTGTCCTGCTACATACAAATAACAGACGAGGCGCAGGCATACAGAGGGAAGTTCTCTGTTGAGTTCATAGCTGTCTGGAGTTAGGCCGGGCATACACGGTGCAATTTGAGCAATGTTTTTGTTAAATAAGAACTCTCACTATACGAGTAAATTGAGCCCGGTCTCATGAAAATGCGTATAAATAGTACGCCAAATTCAAACAGAAAATCATGCCATTGATATACAGAAATTGACTTTGGTGTGCATATGATACGCAATTTGTTGGCATGCATATGATTAACAGTTTTACATACATATGATACGCATCTATCCCACACACCTAATCCTACCCATTATCATATATCATATGCATGCCAAAGTCAATTTCTGTGTATAAATAACATACCATATAATTAACATAAACTCGTGCTATTGATACTCACTTTCATGAGATTCATGATTCAGTAAATCGCTTGCGATGTCAAGCCAAAGCTCAGGATTTTTGTGCTCACACTATACGGTCCCTTCGTCCAGCTGCAACTCGACTGCTCAGTAGAGTTCTGCGCGGGACTGTTTTCTTAAAGGTGGGGTAAGCGATTTGCCGACTAGCAAAACAAACTTGTAGCCAATCAGCAGTAAGGGGCGTGTCTACTCATGATGTGGAGGAGAGAGCGTTCAGTCCGAGCCGAGCAACAGAAAGATAGATGTCGGATAAAAAAACAAAAGAGGAAACCGTCTGTGGAACAAAAGAAGGCTTAAGGCAACAAGGCAAGAAGTAGGACACGTGTAAACATCGGATCAGCTTTCCAGCGCTGGAGAGAACCCAAGGAGCGGAAGGCCTGCGATCAGACACCGAGGTTGCTTTGTTTCTTCTCGATAGGTGAGTAACACCGTTTCTGCGCCGCAACAGCTAAAGTCGGTCTAGTACAGTGGTCGTCAACCCGTCGATCGCGATCGACTGGTAGATCTTTATCACTGTCCCAGTAAATCCCGAAAAAAAAGTAAAATAAGTACAAAAATGCATTACATTTATGGGGTTATATTAATGTATCACTGAAGGGAACTGTCTTGAGAAAAGTTTCGATGGCAATGGCATTTTCTTCTTCTCCGTATAAAGCGTAACTCTGCTTTGTTTACAGCGGTTCATAAGCAGTGTTGCCAAGTCCGCGGAATAGGGCTACTTTAACACGGTTGCCGCGGGTTGTTGTTGTTCATGTACGCGGGTTGAAGCGACCCCAATAATGTGATATTTAGTCCCTGGAATGTGATTTTTACAGGGGAACCCCCCTCGAAACGCAATTGGACTAGTTTTAGTGCGAAAACCTGGCAACCCTGTTCATAGGCGCCACCTGCTGTCAGAGAGTGAGTCTCATTCAGACCTGCTATTTTTATTTCGTGCAGATGTTTTATGTAGCAAATAAATAAATAACACCTAAAGTCAGACCATTCTGTTTTTGTTTTAAATCCTGAAATTAATCTAAATCAAATCAAAAACAACTGCGCGTGCAGATCGTGATTAAAATGCAGTGGTTGCCTCTAATTTCAAATGGCTAGATATTTGTGTTCAAAGCCAGTTTGTTTGTTATAAAGCAAATAGCCAATAAATAAATTTGCTTAAAAATCAGTATCAGAATCCAATTTGCTAGTAAAAAAAAAGAAGAAAAAGAAAGAAAAGCAAATCTGAATTCTGAATCAGCTATGATCGGTGTATCACTAATTAAAATACTAAGTAAAAGTCAGGGATCTTGGGCCTAAAAAGGTTGGTGACCACTGGCCTAGTACACTGGACGCGAAAAAGCGACCGTTGAAAATCATTTGAAATTTGTGTCAATACGTCATAAATAGAACGCAGCAGCAGTTTTCTGTCGGGGATTTGTCGTGTCGTGCCACATCCAGTGTAGACCATAGATATGTATATATACTGTATATCTATGGTGTAGACAGCATCACTGATTATAATGAGTTCTATAGTATTTTGTCGCGCCGCACCACTCGCGTCTCGTGTAGACACGGTGTAACAGTGGTTTTGCTTTGTTTCACAGAACTAATCGTTGCCTGGGTTGCGTACGTATGTGTGGGGCGGAGCTATCAAAATAGGGGCGAGAGCCTTTTGGGGTAGGGGTGTGTTTTCCTACCAGAAATCGCTTACCCTACCTTTAATCCTGCTCCCGCTGAATTTAGCATTACCACCGCTACCGCGATTTTTGTGTCTAGTCCCGTCTGCTCCTGCAAACATTTTGACATTCTGATATGATTTTTGTGCATCAGGGAGCTACTATCAATATGCAGGGTATTGAAATTGCTTTTGAATGAGCGCATACTCTGTGTAAAGGAGCACATCTTCCAAGATATTTGTCAATGAGCTCAGGATCTGTTGAGCAGTAAATCCTCCACAATTGGCTCTTTTTTTTCTTTTAGAAAGAGAAAACAAACAACAACATACAATCACATCTAAACAACAGAACAGTCATTTGGTCACCTATACATTCTTACATAAAGTTAGGCTCCTCCCCTAACAGATGTAATCTCCAAACTTTTGATAAGACTTGAGAGCCCTGAAAGAACACACACTGTCTCACATTTGCATGACTTTTCACATGTATCTGTAAGTGTGATGGCAAAAAAAGTTTTTCTTACACTGACTACAATTGAATGTCTACCAAAATGATTGCGTAGATGATTGTAAAAATTACTCCTTTTTCTAAACCTCGCCACACTGAAGAAAACGGCTATTTCTTCCCAGAATGAGTTTTCAAATGACGTTTCATGCTGCTTTGAAATGTGAAACTCTTCTCACACTGAGGACACTTGTAAGGTTTCTCTCCAGTGTGAATCCTCTTGTGAATCTGAAGGTATTCTTTAACCCTGAAACTCATTCCACACTGTTCACAGGTGAAAGGTTTCTCTCCAGTGTGAATTCTCAAGTGAACCTTGAGGCCATCTTCTCTTGAGCAACTCTTTCCACAGTGATGGCACATGAGAGGCTTTTCTCCGATGTGAATTTTAACATGATCCTGAAGGTGATTCGTGTCTGTGAAACTCCTTTCGCACTGATGACATTTAAAACTCTTCTCTCTTGAGTGAATCTTCATGTGATTATTAAGGTTTACACTATGTCTGAATCTCTTTCCACACTGACGGCATGTGAATGGATTCTCTCCAGTGTGACTTCTTATGTGAGTCTTAAGGTTTCCTTTATACGTGAAAGTCTTCCCACACATTTTGCAGGTGAAAGGCTTCTCTCCAGTGTGAATGATCATGTGGACATCAAGGTTTTGTTTCCGTGTAAAACTCTTTCCACACTGAGGGCATATTAACGGCTTCTTTTCAGAGTGAATCATCATGTGATTGTTAAGACCTTCATTTTGTGTGAAACTCTTCCCACACTGTTTGCAGATGTAAGGTTTCTCTCCAGAATGAATTCTCATGTGGTTATTAAGATTTGCACTATGTTTGAAACTCTTTCCACACTGATCACATACAAATGAATTCTCTCCAGTGTGACTTCTTAAGTGAGTCTTAAGGTTTACTTTATACGTGAAACTCTTCCCACACAGTTTGCAGGTGAAAGGTTTCTCTCCAGTGTGAATGATCATGTGGACATCAAGGGTCCTTTTCCGTGAGAAACTCTTCCCACACTGTTGGCAGGTGAAAGGTTTCTCTCCCGTGTGAATGATCATGTGGACATCAAGGGTCCTTTTCCGTGAGAAACTCTTCCCACACTGTTGGCAGGTGAAAGGTTTCTCTCCCGTGTGAATGATCATGTGGACATCAAGGGTCCTTTTCCGTGAGAAACTCTTCCCACACTGTTGGCAGGTGAAAGAGCTCTCTCCAGTATGAATTCTCATTTGTGAATTAAGGTTTTGTGTTTTTTCAGCTTTTTTTGGTGAGGAAGTCTTTTCAGTCTGCGAGTATCTAATTGATACGTCTTCAGTTTTGAAATCATGATGTTTCTCATTTTGATCTTTGTCTTTCGTTTCATGCAGTTCTTGACTCTCCTCTTTCAGCACCATCAGATCTGAGGTGAAATAAAAAAAATACAAGTTAACACCAGATAATTGGCATAAAGCAACAAACATCAAAACATTTAGACTAATGCAGTCAATCAATAAAATAATGTGAAAATAATTTCACATTGAATCTCCAAATTAATGTAAAATGACAACAATTGTGTGTATGTAACTTAAAATATGGTTTAAAATGTGTTTTTGTGTGTATTTAATGTGCATTTAAAAATGTGGTTTAATGGCATCTTTGTTAATGAACATTCATAGTGTGTTCATACAGTTCAACACCAGCCAAAGGATGCCGGGGAAAATTATGTGTTAAATATTTTAAATTTATTTTAAATATCAAAAAATCACACAATTCATTAATTTTAACAGCCCTAATTTAGACATGAAGAGCATAAAAACCAAACACATGTTTGATAGATTCTATACCTACTAAACTACTGATAGAGGTGTAACCTGTAATCTCAGAGCCTCGTCAATATTGTTAACTCTTTGCTTTCTTTAGGACGCTGTTTTACAGCCGCAATTTAAATTATTCCTTGACCTGCAAGACATTTTGCTACCAAGAACACATTTTATGAAAGCAATTCAACATGATCTTTGCGTCTTTTGTTTAGGCAAAGAGCACACATGCGATGTCCTCGAGGGGGGCAATCTGCGTTAACTGCGAGCGTTTTTCGATGAAAAAGCTCCACTCTCGTTTGTCTCTCTTTTCGAGGAAAGAGGGGCAGCCGTCTGCTCCCCACGGTTCAGGACCTGCTGCTGCTGAGGCACGGAGGAGAATGAGCTTGTGGATATTGCAGGCAGATCTGGCCGATGAGTTTAAAGAGGGGCTTTCCCTCTCACACTCGTCGGCTGTGGACGAGAGTGAGCCGCTGGAGGATGATGTTATTTCCCTAACATTGTCTGATCCGGGGGCCAGTGCTCTGCTGGGTTCGGCCCAGGAAGAGCAGGAGATGTCGGAAGAGGCTGAGCCCTCCCAATCCTCCTGCCCCGCATATGATGAGCTATTGGAGGTTAAAGATCGCACCACGGCGAGGCTTGACTTGCCGTGGAAGCGGGCCAAGAAAGTGAAGTTGCGAGGTCGACTTGTTGAGCGTCATCTTTCTGACAATAGCCCTCCAGCTCAGGTGAGCCTTCCCTTTCTTCCTGATCTCCATGCAGAGATCAAGAAGGAATGGAAGAGGCCGTTTTCCTCACACATTCATCGGTTCCAGCATATGAGTTATGCCAACATTGAGGGGATGCGCAAAAGCGGCTATGAGAAGATGCCCCCTGTAGAAGAGATGCTGGCTAGTTATCTCTCTATGGGTGAGACATCCTCTCTTAAGACTCCCTCCTTGCCATCTAAGCCCCTTCAGGATACATCTCGCTAAAATGGCAGGGTATACGCAACAGCAGGTCAGGCTGTCACTTCGTTGCACACGATGGCGGTGCTTCAGGCGTATCGGGCTGATCTACTGAAAGACCTGGATAAAGGTGAGGGCCTTTCTCTCGATGAGGTAGCGGAGTTGCGCCGCACCACAGATCTCACTCTCCGTGCTACTAAGAAGGCCGCCTTTGCTATGGGCAGGTCCATGGCGGCTATGGTGGTAACGGAGAGACATCTGTGGGTGAACCTGGCAGATATCAGGAAGAAAGAGAGGGGCTTTCTTCTCGATGCTCCAGTTTTGCCTTCCGAACTTTTCGGTACCTTCGTTGAGATGGTGGTTGAGAAGTTCAGGGATGCGAAGGCACGCTCAGCGGCCTTCAAATCCTTCATTCCACGAAGGTCCGGTCTGAGCCCGAACAACCCAGGGGTCCTAGCCTGTTTCAGTCTGAGGATCAGAGAAGGCTAGTGTTGCGGCTCGCGCTCCTCCCCCGCCTGCGGGTAGGGGTAAGAGGAATCACGGGTCAAAGGGAGGTAGGCAAGACCTAAGGGATGTGATCCAGACGAGGCGTCAGTGCTTTCGTCCGGATCAGAGTGATACTTGAGTATCTACTCATTTCCCTCGGGGGGGGTTAACATCTACCCTTATCTTTCCCTTCCTAATTCCCCTGTAACCACCATCTCTCCACCTGACCGAGGTTAGGTAGGAACTTCCTGCATTACAGTCTCCTATGGTGGACCTATAATGTTTAGGTTGGTTCTATGGCTTCATAGTGACCACCTTACTGATCGTCCGTACAAGAGACTTCTTCGGGTAGCTTCTTGAATGGGGCTCCTGCGCGGGAACCATGGTGGGGGAGTACGATCCATTTTTATAAAAATATATATTTAATACGCTGGTGGTTGTGTGTATTCCATCTGCGAGCTTTCTTTGCAGTGTTTTCCGGGACCTGTGTGTTTTTGTCCTTTTCTAGGGTAGCTCTTCGGTGAGCACCCCCTCTGCTGGATTCAGAAACCGGGTTCTCGACTTGTAGTGATTACCTCACTCATCGATGTTGTATCCAGTCGGTATGATAGCCCTGGTTCCGGCTTCATGCTTCCCAGCACGGCACTGCAAAATTTCCTGGACGTCCAGGCTGGGCTTATGCTTTCAGGCTGCCCTGTCTGGTACGCCGTATATAGGTCGCCCTGAGGGGCTTCCTGGTCAACCAGGATATCCCCTCTTGCTAAGGCATCGAGTGGGAAGTATAGGTGGCATTTGCAAGAACCTTCTTGTGAAATGCGGTCTCAGGCAGTGCTCCTGAGCTTGCCACTCCCATTAGGCTCAGTACTTCCGGGCATCTGTGAAGCAGATGCTTGGGAAGCTCTTTAATCCATGCTATGGTAAGTGCACACGCAAAGCTTTGTGCACTTTCTAAAATCCACATAGTGGTAAGTGTGCACGCCAAGACTCTGCACACTTTCTGAAATCCTGTATGGTAAGGGTTACGCGTTATTAGCCCCGTTCCCTTTCACTGAGTTGGCTTAGACCCCGGTACTCGCCTTGGGCTCCACTCAACCAGTGTATCTCTGTTGACACACTTTTGAAGCATCGCTCCCCTCACCATTGAGGGTTATTGTGAGCACGGTGCTTTCTTTCGAGCGATCGAGTTCTCTCCCTTTCTGAGGAGTTGGATTCCTTGCTCCGTGGGCTGTTCTCGTGGTAGTGTTTAGGAGTGCTCCTCTTTATCAAAGAGTTGCCTATGAGCACACCACTCCTTTCTGAATTCGGAGTTCTCCTCTCACGTAAGAGTTGAGTTTTCGGTTTTCCCAGAGCACCTGGAACCGGCAACATCAGGCGAAACTAGGCCCTTCCTCTGACTCCCTGGTGCGCTGAGTTTTTGGCTAAACTTGCAGTACGCCGGCCCTTCTATTTCTAATGAACATGCTGTAGGTCGAGCCCCCTCTCGACTGAGAGCTGGGTGTGTTGCTCCCTTAGCTAGGTAACTTACTGCTAGCCATTCCACCATTTTAGTATAGATCGAACTGATGGCTTTTCGAACATATTGTTCTGGTGATGTACCATTTCCATCTATGGGCTGCTCTTTCAGATTGCCAAGAGAGCCCCTTAGGACGGTATCTTTAAAATCCATGTTATGGTAAGTGTACACGTGAAGTCTTTGAACAGTTTCTAAAATCCACACTGTGGAAAGTTTGCGTTCTTTCTAAAATCCTGTATAGTGAGAGTTACGCACGGCAGCTTTGTGCTCTTTCTTGAGTTGGTTAAAGCCCCGGTTCCACCTTGGGCACCACTCCATCTATGTATCCTCTGGATACCTACTTTAATAGGGTGTTGCTACTAGGGGTCTGTTGAGACAGTTCCTTCAGCAAGCTCATGCAGAGCAAGCGGTAGCCCCTGTGTGAAAGGCCAAGACTTAGTATGATGCTAGGCTCTTAGTCGTATCCCCTTAAAGACATCTATTCCTGATTCCAAGCCTTGAGCTCCACCCCGGGCCCAGGAGTCTGGCCTTAACAGGTAAGTTTTTTGGGGTATGTAGCCTAGGCCTTTGGATGTAGGGGTCATATAATGTCATGGACAGCCGTCTAACGTCCTAGGGGTAACTCCCATGGCTATGGTAGAGTTGGTACTTAGTGTTCGCCGTAGGTTTCTGGCATGCACTCCCCTCAGCATGGTGACGTGGGTATACCGTTCCCAATAGCGACACCTAAAGGATGCAGTTCGAAGTTCCCTTGAAAGGGAACGTCTCGGGTTACGTATGTGTGGTTCCCGGAGTAGGGAACAAGACACTGCGTCCTCTAGGTTTCCTGCCATGCTTCGGACATAAGCTCCAGACGAAGAAGTGAATGACGTGTTCTCCCGGCGCCTATTTATACTATAGCCGCATCGGTAGTAACATCATGGGCTGTCGCAGGCCAACATGTTGTTGTATGCTTCACCCGGGTCACGACGAGGCATTCCCCATAGCGACCCCTAGAGGACGCAGTGTCTCGTTCCCTACTCGAGGAACCATGGTTACATATGTAACCTGAGACGTTAGTTATCAAGCATCTCAGTCATAATTTAAGTAAAGTGTAGGTCTAAATATGGAGTGTCCATCTTAGAGATGATTCACGACACTTTGCTGTGCCACAAACAGGATTTTGGATGATGACATAGGCATGAACCGATCACTAAATAGATTTCCTTATTTAAGAATGTTCTCGCATAAATTCACACTGAAAGGTGAAATACCTAAGAAGAGTTTACATTCAACACACATTTGACAATAAAGAATTTTCAAGAGATTGCATTATGGCAAGGAAACAAAACGTCACCACAACCTTCAATTTAGGGTTGTGCCGATAGACAATAGTATCGTGTACCGAGGATAGTCAGAGATATCACCTGTTGGAAAGGAAAAGGATGTGACGTGTGGCCAAGTATGGTGTCCCATACTCTGAATTTGTGCTCTACATTTCACCCGTCCAAGTGCGCGCACACACAGCAGTGAGTAGTGAAGACACACACACACCGTGAACACACACTCGGAGCAGTGGGCAGCCATTTTTGCGGCGGCACCTGGGGAGCAGTTGGGGGTTCGGTGCCTTGTTCAAGGGTCTCACCTCAGTCGTGGTTTTGAGGGTGGAGGAGAGCGCTGGTCATTCACTCCCCCCACCTACAATCCCTGCCGGACCTGCGACTCAAATCCGTGACCTTTGGATTTATAGCGTATCAGAGCGAATCAAAGATTCAATCAGATTGGCGTTGAAACAACCCAAAGAGCCAAATTTCACAAAGAGGCACAGGATAAGAAGACAACGTCATAAATCTGTCCATGATACCCTGGCACCAGGAGTCTGAAGCAAGTCCACTAACTAGCAGCTTTGAGCAACTTGCAGCATTAAAACAAAAGAATAATTATTGATAGTTCCAACCCAAGAAGGAGTTCGTCAAATTTGGGGCAAGTAACCAAGATTAATGGTCAAAGAGATGCACAGCACGACCATCACATGTAAATCCATGATAGAAATCATGAGGTAAAGACTAGGTACATTCTAGACCTTTTGACCCTCACAGAACACAGTCTCTGTGTTGTTTAGTGAATGTGAGGATGTCTTTTACACATATTTCAGTCAGGACCACTCTGTTTGAGTAAGATTATTGTAGAGGTCCTGAACTTATATTTGGCGGCAGGCTTCCCTCTGAAGGGTTCCGATTCTGAGCTATCCACAGGCAAACCTCACGGAGGTTTGAATTAGGGCTGGGCAATGTGTAAAAAAAAAAAATCTTATCGATAACTGCCTTTAACAATATCGCAATATCCAATAATATCGTATACCCAAGCCCCTCCACCACCCCCGCCGAGACAACATTGCCGACATGCACCATAAACACACACCATGTTCAGTGGAGTAGCCTAGCGCAAATCCACAGGTCCCTCCCCGCAAACCACAAGTCGGGGTTGGGATACATCGCAATATTGTAAATATTTATGTTTTAAACCATGTAGGTGAGCCAATGGACATCACACAAGCATTGTGCAAACCTATGCAGGTGAACGTCTTAATCTCAGTCAATTCACCAGAAAATGAAAGTAAGAACTGACGGAACTTTAGGCATACTAACATGAACTGTTAATGGAACATAAACATGGAAACTGCTCCTGAATAGAATAAATATTATACCTTAATGCAAATCCTTCCCAGCTAACACACGAAGTACCGGTTATGTGATTCATTGGTACTTTATTTTTATTTCATACGTTGCATGCTCATAGTTTCTTTTGTGATTTAGTGAAATGATATACAGCGCGCACCCCAGCATGGAGAGATTATCGCGGGCCCACAAGGAAAAATAATACATTTGAGAAGAAAAATAATAGAGCCCAATTTTCAGTTCATCATGGTGAAGTTGGACATTCTGGCCGTGATTGTTAAGAATGATAAATGCATGTTGATTTCACATAGCTTAAAATGTCTTGAATAAAATATGCCTTCTGTTTCTCTTTCTTTTTGGCATTATCGCCTTCCAGGATGGTAAGTTCGATTTTCTTGATTATAACAAACCGTTGTTTTTAAACTTTCTAGCTATGTATTTGATAGACTAGCCAATATATCATGTATGACTAAAATCAGGAATTAAAAACGAATTCTAAACAAAAACAGTAAGGTATTTTTTTCCCCTGGTACTATAGTTCGGAGGTCTCTTTTGGCCCGTTTATAACAAAATAAAAATGCCTGCTTCAGTTATTTAGAAGCAGGAGTAATTTAAATAACATTTTTGTATTAAAATTTTTATTTAGCCTATTTTTTTTTTTACTGATCAAAATACAACGCCATCAATATAACTGGGCTGCCAACACAGAAACTCCAAACGCGTGCATGTTGAGGGGCGAGCTGAGATATAGGCTAGCACTATAGGCTATATTTCATCATCCATTTGCAACAAAACTTTATAGTGCTGTGAAGGAATTTGCGTATAAAGGCCCGTTCACACCAAGCACGATAACTATAAAGTCAAGTCAAGTCAAGTCACCTTTATTTATATAGCGCTTTTAACAATACAGATTGTGACAAAGCAACTGAACAGCATTAATTAGGAAAATAGTGTCAATAATGCAAAATGACAATAGTAAACACTCATAAAGATAACGATATAGTTCTAAAAATCGTTCTCAATATTAAAGAATAGCATAGTTCACACCACAACTATAACGATAACGATACAGAGGAACGATATCGTTGTGATCACTTTCAAAACTATTTTTTTCCAGCTGATGAAAGATAAAACACTGACAGCCAATCAGAATCCACCCTGCTGTAACGAGCTCAAGAATTTAAAGCGGCAGACGAGCGTGCGCTTAGAATAAACAGACGATATCATTCGCTGGTGTGGATGCTAATATCGTTATCTTTATAGTTATTGTTCTTGGTGTGAACGAGGCTTTACTGTCATGTTTGTGGTTTTTCATCATTATACAGTCTGTTTAAATAAATATTCAGAAACCTGTGCAATGCTATTATTTATCTTTTTTTCTGTTTAAGTTTTATCAAACTGCAGATCAAAATAGAATAGGCCTATATGCTACCCTAAATAAGGATAAATGATGTGAAGGCATCTCCAAAATAATCCTACACACAGATGCACGTTGCCATTATAGTAGCCAGCACCGAACAACAGGCAAATAAAATATAGACTGAGGTTACAAAAGTGATTTAGTAAAGATCAGCGAGGGGTTTTATTTTTTTTGTTCTTTGATTAACATTTATGACTGGCGGCAGCGGCTGATGTCAATGCACGGATCCAATACACCCTTGTTTTCGTTCTCAACTCTTTACATTTTCTCAAGACATAACCGATTGTATTTATGGGATATTTTGAATTTATATTATTATATATACGTTTTACCCTACTAGAATTGATGCCGGAAAGTTATCATATTCATAAGTGTAACAAGTCATTTGCATGTGAAAGTAGAAACACATGCAAATTCAGATGAAACCTCTGGGCTGATTATAACGTGCACGTTTCCTCATGAAATGTGGGGTCCGACAATAGCCTCCATGATCTCATCGCTCGTGGCCAGCGCACTCTTAAGCAGTTATGGTGTGAAATATGTGTGAACTCTTTTATTTATGTTATCACTTGGCCATTTGGCTTATAGCAGTGTCCAGTGTTTCCAATACATTGAGTTATTTGTGGCGGCTCGACACAATATCAAAACCGACCGCCACAAATAGATTTTCCAAAAGGCTTATACTTCATTGAATAAACTGAGCACAGCACGTTTCAAAATTAAAATGCAGCGCGGGGGGTTTTATGTGAATGTATCTTTGATCTTTCCTGTAACGCCTGATAAACGCCTGTAAAGTAGAGTTTGTGAGCGCAGCGCTTATTAGATTACAGCCGTTACCGGGGAAACCGCTATATCTCCCGCTCCAACAGCGCCTCCTGCTGGCAGAGAATGAACTTGCATTTGCAAGTCTGTGGGAAACACTGGTGTCTGTCAGCAAACATAAACAAAAAGCATGCTTCAGAACTGTTTTGAGAAGGTGCTTAAGTTTTGAGCCATGAATTAGGCTACTACTATTACTATCTTGTAACCTGCAATAATTATTTACTTAAACTCTCTTTTGAAATGAAGAGGGAAAAAAGAAAAGAATATCGGCTTAACATATCAGCCATCGGCCATATATATATATATACAGTGGGGCAAATAAGTATTTGATACACTGCCGATTTTTCAAGTTTTCCCACTTACAAAGAATATCAGCAGTGTATCAAATACTTATTTGCCCCACTGTATATATATATATACACACATACATACACTGAAAAAATTCTGTATTCTGTAGAGCTGGACATTTTAATAAGGATCAAATGATCAGCTTTGAAAATAAAAACCAACCTGTTTGTTCCTCAGTATCTTCATGTTTGACTCTGAATGTTTCTTCAATCGTCACGTCTTCACTCTCCTCTTTAATAAACTCCATCTTTGTTTGTTCCTCAGCATCTTCAGGTTTCAGACTGAATATTTCTTCAATCCTTATGTCTTCACTCTCCTCTTTAATAAACGCCATCTTTATAATAGTGTCTCATGGAACTCAGTTGAGTTTATCTGTGCGTTTAAGATGAGAATAATTAACAGAAAGAAATATGAATGCAAACTAAACCTCTGGTTGTGTCTCAATCAGCTCCCTAGTTCAGTAGTCAGCACACTAGTTCAGTAGTCAGCGCACTAGTTCAGTAGTCAGCTCCCTAGTTCCGTAGTCAGCGCACTAGTTCAGTAGTCAGCGCACTAGTTCAGTAGTCAGCACACTAGTTCAGCAGTCAGCACACTAGTTCAGTAGTCAGCTCCCTAGTTCAGTAGTCAGTGCACTAGTTCAGTAGTCAGCTCCCTAGTTCAGTAGTCAGCGCACTAGTTCAGCAGTCAGCACACTAGTTCAGTAGTCAGCTCCCTAGTTCAGTAGTCAGCTCAGTAGTCAGCGCACTAGTTCAGTAGTCAGCACACTAGTTCAGAAGTCAGCTCCCTAGTTCAGTAGTCAGCACACTAGTTCAGTAGTCAGCTCCCTAGTTCAGTAGTCAGC